CCACCATAAAAGCTTCATTATTTGGATCACTATTATGATCTCTCAATTGTTAGAATAAAAAAAATTAGGTGGACGGATGGAATAAAAAAAGTTCTTCTAATAATACTTTCAACTGCTAATAAATGAAAGTGCCCGTTGTTACTGATTAGAGAAGTATTTAAATAGTGCCATTCAAATTTTACATCAACTCAAAACAGAACAAGTTTTCTTCCATGAAACCTAGGCGTAGTTAAATTAATGGTGAAAAAAAAATGTAAAATAGTTAATTCGAAGGCAACAAAAACCATTTACTCCAGAAATGGAGGAAGTATAATTGAATGAACTTTTACAGTAGTATATATCAATAAACAAAAACAAATACTGTAAAGGGGGTAATTATTCACTGGGTTTTAATTTAGCTTATTTCGCTGACTGGAAAAATGCGCTAAATTAAAACACAGTGAATATGTAAAATTTAGCATAGAACACATTATCTAAATGATAAAACCGTGAATTTAAAACCCACTGAATATGCCTGAAATGGTAAATCAGTGAAATTTAAACCCAGTGAAAATTAGTCATTTTACAGTATACAATGCATTTGCACTACAAAAATGTAAATTTGAATGATAAACAAAATTTGTTATCTCTCATGGAGAGATATTTGAATGACACAGATGATGATGATGATGATGATGATGGTTATATTTTCTTATTCTTGTAAAACACGCAGACGTGGTAGAACTCGGAGCCTTCCACTTTGCGGAGTTGCCCCCCATTGGGAAGCCAGTGCAGACCTATAAGTATGCGAAGGAAAGGATCCAGATTACTACTCAGTGGTTCAAAGTGAAAACCATGCTAATTTATGCAGAAAAAAAAGTAAAACTGTGTAAAAAAATAAAATTGATTTCGAAAATCTAAATTTCAATTATTGATCATGCAAACCAGAGGTTTGATTTTATTATAGAATGTAAATTTAAAAAAAAAGAAAGAAAGCATGTATTTATTAATTTGTCTTAATTTGCATATTCAAAGCCAGGCTAGGCAGAAGATTGCTGTTAAAAAGGGTTTAAGATGTGCACAGGAAACAGTTTAAGAAGGCAGGATTTTTTAAAAGTTCACAAGGAAATAGGGTTATAGAATGTGATGTTAATACAAGACGCAAGTTTAAATATGTTGGAACCACTGAGTAACTATATTCTGTATCCTTACTATCCCATTACAACTCTTACCCGATGTCTGCTTGAGTGTGTTTTTTTCTTAGTATATTTTACAAAATGTGATATGGGAATTTATACTATAGTGAATACATTAAAATTCTTGACACAGTGTTCATTTCATTTTTACTCTATGTACAAAAGAAATAAGTCCACTTTTCTGGAGAAACACTGTAAAAATCTACACATACCAAAGAAACAAACAGTAATGGAATAAAACAAGTCATATACAAATATGTAAACTGGATGAGCAACAGAAGTTGAAAAATCCCATCTATTTCAATAGGATGAAGATGAAAAATGGAGCAGGTTGCTATGACAACAGATGTTGCAGTGAAGTGATTGATGAAAGATGAAGCAGAGATTCTTATATGAGATTTGTTTAAAACGAAAATTTAAGATGATTAAAGCTTGATAGAGGGTTGCTTGTTGCCATGGGTTGGGTATTTGTTTCAAGTTCATGGTTATATGAGTGTAAGTTCAGAAAGTGCACCTCACCATGTGCTAACCCCAGAAACATATCAAATGAATTCAAAATTAAAATCTGATGCTAAAGCAATGAAAAGTGCTTTTGAAAAACATTCAGTAATACACCTCAACACCAGACGGTGAGTAATAATAGTGCCCTCTATGGTTTACTTTGTTTTAAACTGCAGTGACCTGTTGAGGGCAGTATACTACATGAAACAAGCTATACACATCAATCTTTTATTTAATAATGCTTTGTTTTTTGGTAGAGTAGAGAAACGATATCATGTAGTCTAAAAATATTAGCTGAACTATAATTACTTAATTAATTACTAAGAATTAAGAAAATATCAGACCAGACCCAATAGATAAAATGTGGGTTCTCTGATTGCCAAACTTACGCAGTAAAAGGGGGGGGGGGTGAATCTTTTTATGTTTATGTGTTTATCTGTATTTGACTCAATTATGATTTTTTTGGTTTGCAACTCATTGTGTGCACCAGCTTTTAAATCTCCAAGTACCTAAACTTAATAAATTTAGCTATTGAGCTTTGGATGTCTAAATAAAAAAAAATCAATATATCTGGCATCCAGTGAAAAACAATCTGAATTTTGCACTTAATATAGGTTGTCACATGACCAATGAGAAAGAAACCAGAGAATTTGGCAGTTCTCCAAAAAAAAGTATCAAACTCACTGCTATGGAAACATTAACTTCTACTATTTTTTTTTTTCAATCTTTTATTTATAATATGTGTTTGTAAGTTATGGGCAGTAAGCGAATAACGTCGTGGCGATGGAATGACACCAGTCAGAAGTTAAATTTAGAATGTATACTATAAATTACTTGATATGTAATCATAATTATTTCTACTAAGAAATTCAAAACTTCTATTTTATCAAAATAATAATTTATTTTTAAAACAAAGTTTTGAAGTGTAGACATACCTTGATGTAGATGTGTTGTAATCATGCGTAGCCGGGGTGAAAGATGGAGGGCTGGACTTCGGATGTAATCTTGGATAATACAGTGTGTCTCTCTTGACGTCTCCAAACATTGAATCAAAGTAGTCTTTACCCTGTCCGGTCACTGGTGCGGGTACTGACGCTGGTCTGGTAGGTCTGGTGTATCCTGCATTAGAATGATACATTGTGGTATTTGTTCACATTGCAATTAATAAACATTACTTTACCCATAATCCTCTGCATGAAATTTTAGATGGTGGACTACATAATGCTAATGAAAAGTTGAATATCTAGAGAATGAAATGTGATATAAAAAACCTGTAAATTGCACTCTCCTATATTTGTCTGAAAGCATTAAGTTGCTTGCCTTCTCTTTTAAAAATTTAAATATGATAATAATGAACGTGTTTCGACTGACCTCGTGATGTGACACTAGTTGACATTCCAGTAGTATTAGCAAATTTCCCAGCGTAGGCAGGAGGTGATGATCTTGTTTGACCTGAATAGCTGACCCCACACTTCACCAGCCTGCTACCAGGAGTGTACGAAAGCGGTAGTTTATTATGCCCAGTCAGAGAGGTCGTGATCCCTGAGGTGTTTATTGGTGGCACCGCTGTATGCGCACGTTCGATATTATGTAATCTACATGAGACAAAATTAGAAATCAACCATAGATAAATTAAATTTATTAAATTTGATGTTCTGAACTGGTTGAACTCGCCAGTACAGATGATTTTGGAAATTCTTCTTAAAGGTACAGGTATCTATATTCTGACCATTAGTGTTTGATTGATTGAAATAAAATAGGGGGTATTTAATTTTCAATCAAATTTTACCTTTCTTGATAAAAATACTGTAAAAATATAAAAGATTTCCATAATTTGATGACTTGATGGTGTTTTTTAAAAATAACATGACGTGAGAGAAATGCTCGCTGTGAATATCTTGTTTGTACTTGTTGATCTGCTCAACATTCAAAGTCGGCATCTTTTATATGAGACCCATATATCTACCGCCCTTTAAAAATATAAAAAAGAACATTTGCCATTTGCATGAGAACGTACCTATTTTCTTCCTCCTCGACTAGTACTTTCAAAGACTCAATTTCTGCTCTGATTGGTGGTTCTTTGCCACTGCCTAGTTCTTGTAATTTGTAAATCAACATGTCTTGTATTTCTTTCAGTTTTGCCTCTAGAGATTGTATATGAACCGAAGACTTCTGACGTTCTTGATCCAAACTCTCAGATAGGTCACCATTATTGTGTTCTAATGTGCGTACCTGTTGGTAGAAAATAATAATGCACTAGAATGTCGCTAGAAATTTGTGCTATTGGCAATCTTAATGCATTTGAGAGGAAAACGTCTTGGGCAAGTGACTGCGAATATGTGGCTGAAAGTAAAAATGCTTAGCAGCGTTGGGAGCATTTGTTTTTCTGCGATTACATTTGTGATTAATTACTGTAATTTCTAATCTTGCTTTATTTATTTTTTTACACATTATTACAAATATTCCATACCATATGTGAAATGGTGGAGCAAGCTACGTTTCAGTTGTACGTACCTTATTCTGCAAAGTGTGGATCTCTCTTCTGTAATTGTCTATTTCCTCACATAATTTCTTGTTCTCATCAGCCAGCCGTGCTATATTTTCAGCATCTTGTTCCATCTGTATCTGTAGTTCGTGCAACTAATATTACAGAAAAAATGAGAATAATAAATAAATAATCTATCTTTATTTAACTGGAAAATTTCCAAAGTTGCAAATGAGTCTAGCCAAAGAGCACTATGGGTAATTTATGCTAATCATTTCCATATAGAGATCACACTTACGTTCTTTGCATACTGAGCTTCTGATTCCTCTTTGTATTTCTGTAATTCAGCATGGGCAGTATCGCGTACTCTGGCCAACAGCTCATGTAACGTATTGTCACTACGACCTAATTCACGTACTTTCCCCTCAAGCATTAATATTTGTTTGGCTTTGTCTTCAAGACGACTCTTCATTTCAGCCGCTTCCTGTATACGAACAAGCACATGACATGTAAATCAGTGAATAAGACTGAAAAGGCTGGTAAAATTATTTAGTTTATTATTTCAGACAATTCTTCCGTTGGCAACAAACATAGCAGTACTGGGTCAACATTATAATGAATATGTACCCCTGGCCGCATTATTTTTATTTTTCACCTAATATGGAAAAGTTGGCTGCTCTCCAAAAAATTTATTTTTAATTAATGAAAAATCATATCTTATCTGCACTCCTCACAAGTTACAATATGAGGCAAACTAATTTTAAAAATTATTTGTATTTCCTCAAATTTTGTCACATTTCACTAATCAGACATTTTCCAAATTTATAAAAAATATTTTGATCAAAACCTATATGTTATGAAAAATTCTAGTTGGTCCAAAATTAACAAAAAAATTATAGAAAAATCCATGAAATACACTGAAATAGCGACAGTAAAAATATGATATAATCACCCACAGCACCAGTTTTATAGCAGAAAATCACATAAAGTACAACTATTCGTGTATATATAGGATTTTAATATATGTAGAGCGAACACAATAATGTGAATATTTATATGCAATATATGTGTAAATTAATTAACGCCAATCTGAACTCACCTCTGCGTTAACTTGCATGTGAAAATCAAGTTTTTTTTGTAGATTGTCCAGAGCATTCAGCGCTTCATTTTTTGCAAGCGTCTCTTTCTCTAATTTCCTGCTGACTTCCTCAAAATCTCGAAGAAGCCCGTCATAGTCTCTTTGTAAATCGTTGAATTTTTTGGCAAGATCGTCCCTCTCTCCAGCCAACTGATTGATTTCAAGGTCCTTCTTCCCTAAGAGTTGCTGTAGGTTTCCCAATTCACCAATGAGTGCTTGATTTTGTCTCTGTTCAACAGAAAGTCTGAAACCAACACAGAAATATTAGAGTATACATGTAAATTCACCATAAATCAATGCCTGAACATTTCTCAAAATTTGCATACAAATTAAACAATTTATTTGTGCTGAAATATAACACATGTCACATCAGGATATTAGGTGACTAAAATTAATTCTATTAGTTAATAATAAGTTTGAAAAATATAGACTCCAGAATTTGATCACCAGATTACAATTTGTAATGATTCTGTCATTTCCACAACAAAAACTGCAAGAGGGAGCACCGCAATTCAGCGGTGCCACCAAGTGGGAGAGATAGGGTTCTCCCTACCAGGGTGTGGATTTTTTGATAATTCTAAGTTAAAATGGAGCATTCTATGGCTTAAATCCTTGGGGCCAAAATTACTATCAGGTAGGTCACAGTTGACCACATGTGATCCCTGGTCATTCAGAATGTTATGGTTGCCAGAGGATCTGCTCCCCAGGGTAAGGGGCGCATGGCCATCGCTGAGGGTACTGCGCCCCTGTTCTCTGATTTCACCTGAAACATGTCAAAAATTCACATTGTTATACGAGAAAACAAATATGTCCTGAGGAGTAACCTGTAATTTTACCTGTCCTGCAGTTCTGTTGCAAGGCCATTATTTTTCTTTGCAAACAATTCAAGTCGTTGCTTTTCACTTGTGACACCTTCTAGTTCTCTTCTAAGCTTGTCAAGTTCATTGTCATACAGTGCTTTGATAGAGTTGATCTCCTCTTCAAGGTTGCGAATCGAATTTAAAAGAGCCGAGGAATCATCCTGCAAGGCAATATCACATTATAAGCAGGTTGAGCATAGGTACTAGTCAATTCAGAAAAATAAAATAAAATAAACTTTTCTACTCTGATTAAAAGAGGATCTTTGTTGGGCTATCAAGCCTCTTGTCATTATCGATATATTTTATAATTTAGGCAAACAAATCAAAACGCAACACTCGCAGCACTGAACAGTACATCAGCAAATTGAGAATTTGAGTTTGGCAGTTTTCAAGTTTGTATCTTCAATTTGTTTTTATTTATAGAACTATAAAGATGGAATATGAACTATTAAAAAGGAAATTATTACAGTCATCTAGGGTTTGTATTCAATAAAGATCATATGTGACACATAAATGTTCATTTATTCATTCCTAGGGGCACATGCCGGGGTGGCACCTTGCTGCGCCCACCTTCCGCGCCCACTCCTTCGGCTTCCTCCGAGCAAGTGTCCAAGCCTATGCCCCATAACTCGTCGAGAAACTCGCTCATCTGCCTCAGCCATGATGTTCTCGGTCTCCCCCCGGGCTGTCTCCACCGGCCAGGATTCCGTGCAGACATAAATATACAACATAAAAATACCTTATTTGTTGGTACAACATTTTAATGAGTGTCGTGTGATGACAGTCTCGGGGCTTTAATCTATGAATATATCATATTAATACCTAAGTTTAATTTTGTCAGTTTTTCTCAGAAAGCAATGTTTGCCATTTTGCAATAAGACAATGATGATATTTGATGTATGAACAACCACACATCCCAAAACTCTAGATTCGTGCAATACAATGGCGTCTCACCTGATTGGCTTCTTGTTGAAGTTTACGAACTTTGGCAATGTAATCTGAGTATCTGTCATTCAGGAGTGAAAGTTCTGTTTTTTCCTGATGCCGAGTCATCGGTACGGATGATGAGGAACTTATGTAGGCACTCATCCTGAAAACTAAAGAAAAATGAAAATTCACTTAAAATGTTATGAAAAAAATCATGCAAATGATAGTTCAATTATCACCTAGGCAACACTTTTACTGGTGTAAGCAAAATGATTTTTTTTTTGATGAGCTGAAAATGTAAATGATCATAATGATTGTTATGTGAAACAGAAAAAAAATAAAAACTACAAATTATGTATGTTACATACAAACAATTGATCATTTCAAGTCTAGGGCAAAGAACACCTTTCACCATCTTTAAAAAAATATTAATGGACCAAAGTGATACCCAGATATTTTCCATTTACATTACTTGTACAGGAAATGTACACTGTATCTCAGAGAAATGAAATGTACACAGTATCTGAGAGAACTCAAATGTGCAGGTTTTATAATTTACATTTTGTAACAGTTCATTTTAGATTATGCGTGTAACATTTGAGTGGCCACACTATGGAAATTCATAATTTTGCTGCAGAGCAGTAAGTTACATACATACAAGTACAAAAAAAAAATCACAATTTACACTTCAGACAGCAACACCACCATTTTTGAAGTTTATCACTGCTGACATTGGAATATTTCATACAAATTTTGTGTGTTACCACATATTTTTCAGATAACTATAGACTACCTTTGCTTTGCCTTGTTGCTAGGAAACACATGTCAATATGAAATGGACAATGGTGATTGGACAAAAGAAGTCAGAAAATAACACCAATTGAAAGGCTATTAACAACAATCAAAGTAATATCTTAAGATAGACCAGTATCTGTTAAGTATGTAGTATTCATAATGTACATAGTTGCCATGGCAAACCTAACCTATAATAAATAAACAAACTTATCACTTGCATGAACATTTCTAGTACCGGGTAATTAAAATGCCCAGTGTTCATTTCTTGGTTCACATTTATTTATTTGAAATCATATATTAAATAGTTCAAATTAAATACTGATTAAATTTTTAAATTCTCCTTTTTATTTTTTTATGACGATATCACGTCTTTGAGTCTCAATTTGCATGCAAACTCCCATCAAGGCATCATATTCTCGTGAAATAAATGGGAAAATGAACTGACAGTGAAATGAACGTACACGCACCATTGGTTGTTCAGCTATTAAAAGCATTGCTGATTATGAAATACCATGAACTGTAAATGTTTATCAGGTTAAAACCATGATATTTGACAACATTGAACATTTTATTTGCAATCTTTAACGCATCGTCTGCGGAAATTCTGGGATAAAAATGGTGTCAGCAGACAATGTGTCGGTGAGTCATAGCAAGTTCTGTGAAATCTCTACGTATGCCTTTGAAATATCAGGTAGATATATTAGATAGAAACAGAAACAATAATTTTTTTTATAAAAAATGCCTCCTGTAAGTTTAATACTAGGATCACTATTGGTTATCTCATTTCATGTGCACTATTAAAAAAAATTAATAATCAATAAAGAGAATTTAAAAAAAAATAATATCAAAACGGGGAATAAATTATACAAGATAAAGGAAAGTAGTGAATTGAAATGAAAAAACAGATAATTAACAAATTTTAGCAAATATTTGAAACATTACAGCTTTAAATGAGGACAATTAATTGATACCATTTGTTACATTCTGTGAAGTAATGAGACAAAGTCACCGATTATACCACTTATAGTGGATGTGAAATAGAGATTTCTTGTACAAATGAATTAAATTTTAATAAAAGATATATCTCTGATATCTCTGATATACCATATGATATCCGTTTATAATAACACAACCTACATTGAAACATGCAAGTATTTAAAGCGTTAATAATAAGAAAATAAATAAACACATAATAAATAAGTTGGTTCCATACAACCATGTTTAATAGTTTCACTAAATTAACGCCATTTTGAAAAACGATTCTGAACAGTCATATTTTACATGCAGCACCGAGATGGTTACCATGGTTACTCAAACCATGGGCATCATGGAAAGCTGTAATTTTCAGAAATGTTGATTAGAATAAAAATGTCACATCTGTTTACTCATCTCTTAGCAACAATTCACTGAGACACTGCAAAAATAGATAGAGGCCATTGATAATGGGAGTATTCTTTAACGATGGGTGGCGTCTGATAATAGACGGCTTACAATGATACGTTTCTATAGAATTCAAATGAAGGACACCATACATGAAATTTACAAACATATAAATAGGAGATATAAATTGTAATTTAATGTTTTGATATTTACAAGCAGACAAGCACATTTACAAGGCTCGGTAAAAAACAATGGAAATGCTAGTAAGCGGAATTTATCAAATTACTGTAGTTATACTCGGAGGCAGTAGAAGATAATTAAAATTCCACAGTTTTTGTCACACCACGTCCTGTTTGATATGGCTCCTATGCAGCAATGAGTACTAAATTCACTGTTTGGTTACACAAAATTTGAACACTCATTACTAAGTCACTTTAATATAAATCATATTTATAATTACATAAAATAACAAATTTATTACACAGGTGACTGATATGGTCTGCTTTCTCAAATTACTTTGTTATTCAATGATTTTATGCTTCTCTCATTGTATTCTGT